TGAGAACAAGGACCCCAATCTGAAGAAAAAAAGCTGTGTGGAAGGAGAGGTATAGTTGAAGCCATACAAAGCACTAGCTTTGGTAACTGTCGGAAGTCAACAAATCCATCCCACATAGAATGAAGGATGTTACGTTCTCAGGTAGTTGGTTTCTGCCCTTTTGTTAGATTTGAATCTATATTATTTTGAATTGCTTTCCTCCTTCACAAACATAAAGAATATGAATGGCCATGTAAGTCAAACCAGAAAGTCTTCTCTTCAGCAATGACAGTGATTGAATGCATGGAGAAGAATATGATTGCTTCCCCTGAATATTTTCCTAGCCTTCTACTAATTCTTGTTTGTGGACTTCTTGAGCTGCATGCCGTTCCTATGTATTTAGTAATTCTTGGTGGGTTAGCCTTTCATGGACTTGTTCTGGATCCATATAAATATTCAACATGCACAGCTTCCTTTGACGAGGAGTTTGCCACCCATGAACCCTTTGTTTCTTTCTTTTGAACCTAATACCAACACTTCGTGGCTTTTGTTCTTCTTTCAGAAGAAAGAGTCAACAGTTTATCCCTACCCACCAGTTCACATCACTCAATTTTGTAAACTTTTTGTAAACTAATCGTTGCTTTCCCAGCCCAAGGACTCCTCGCTGACCTGGTTGTTCTTCACGTGGAGCCCGTTCCATGCACACCTCCCCTGCCCTTCTCTCAGCGCATCACCATTCTGCTAAACACTTTCTGAGGGAGGGGAGCTAGAACTGCTCACAGTATTCAAGTTGTCAGTGAATCACAGATTTATACAGTGGTACAATGATGTTCTCTGTTTTATTGTCTTTTCCTTTCCTAATAATTTCTAGCAGCAGAATCATGTTGTTGATTGCTAGGGGGTATTGATAAGTAAAAGCTTTCATGCAGGAACCATTAACTTCTCACTTGTTGGTTCAAGACTAACAAACCTGTTCAGCATAAAAAAGGAAAACACTAATAGCTTCGGATTTCACTTTTTTTTGGCCTCTTACTCACCGTCTGAAGACCTGTCATAGGAAAGAATTAGGGTATTACAGTAGATGTGTCTGAGGCCTCTAAGCATGAAATTAATTTAGTAGACACTTTATATAATGTAAGTAATTACTTTGGTAAAAAAATATTTCATAGAAGCAGTAAATGGTATATTTCTTTGCAATTAAATTTTCCTCTCTTCTTTAGTAACATATTTTAATAATGTCCCATTCGTAAAATTATTAATGGGGCCTGTAAATGTAAGTAATTAAGCTTAAGACTTGCTGAATTGATCCTTAATGTGATTAATTTTTACATTTGAAAAAACTATAGGATGATTGACTAATTATTATAATGGATTTTCCATACTCATCAGTTTACTTTGAGTTATAAATATAGGGTTACCAAACTGATTTTATAGCCAGAATTCTATAGTCTTTTCCTACTTATCCCATTTAATCTGATTCTATTTTTTAAAAATAAGTTTACCCAAAATTTTTAAAATACTTTAATTATTACCCCATTTTGTCAAAAAAGCTGAAAATGAAAATGTAAGCTTATGAAAACTGATGATATTTCACTTTTCCTCTTCTCTAATGTGGTGTGTCAGTGATGGACTGAACATCAGGTACCTGAAGAAATGCTCAGCTCAGGCATCCTTTCGCTCAGTCTACTGTCCTGTACCAGTAAATAATGACTGGGTGCGCCTTTCGCACCAAACTTCAACATTTAATATTTGCTATAGCTGTTGTGATCATGGACACATCCATTTTTCACAGCCCCTCTCTGATCCTTTTCAGCCTTACAGTTTTTTCACCTCAGAATGGTTTGTTTATTCTTCAACCCTGCTCCTGAGTAAAATAGTTTCTTATTCATAGACTTTAAGACTAGAAAGGACCTGTGCTATCTAGTTTGTAATCCTGGATAAATGGAGGTCATGGAGCATTACTGAATTAATTCCCTACCTGAACTAAAATATAGTATCGCATCTGATCTTCATGTGCCCTGTTCCAGGAAACCTGCTAGCACTTCTGGGAAACTGTGCTTGTGGTCAACTGCTGCTGTCACTGCGAGAATTTTCAAGCTCTTCTGCCCTGAGTTTTATTTTGTTGTTGACTAATAGCTTCAAGGATCTTTTTATTATTTGCTCTCTGTTTTGTCCTAACAGATTGTGGTCAAACCACCCTGTGACTGGCTCCGGTTGGTAGATTTTGCTTCAAAGTGCCTGCTAGATGAGGTTTGTAAAGCTTCTGCCCTGTAAGGCACGCACTTAGAAATCCTCCTCTCTTTTACTATTACATTCGAGACACATTGGATAGCACTTACGTAATCAGAATAATGGTTGTCCCATTAAGCAGTGATGGTTCTATATTTATTGAAGCAAAATCAAATAAAATGCCTTGTATAAATATAGGTCATCAGTGGTTACCTTTCCCAACTACAAATCCTGTTAGAAAATAAATTAGTTTGAAATGAGCTAGTTTCCAAAAGCCCATGTTGATTGGATTCATCGATTCAGTTATTTATTATTTGAGACCATAATTTGCTAGGATTAATCTCATGGTGATGAGCCAATAATTACTCAAGGCATCTCATTTAGCCTTTTACAAAATGGCGTATTTACTTAGTTTTGATTGCCTCAAACTTTCCTGTTGTTTCCCAACTCAACAATGTAGAAAGATTTTGATCGGTTCTTCTAAAACTTTTAGATGCAGAATTTTAAAATGTTGATTTGAGGATTTCTAATGAATTGTTTCTGTCTTTTTGTTTTATTGATCCCTTTTTCATCTGATTGAATAGAGAATGGCAATACTGGTATGATTCTATCTGCTTCTAAATCACTTGGACAGTCCTTGTTTCTAACAGTCACTTTACTATCAACTATTTAATGCTTTTATTATTTAATCAATTGTCTACATCATAATTTCTAACTACTATTATTTTCCATTTTTGTATTTTAGGTGTCCATTTATATACCTATATACACAAGGATATTAATGTAGTATACATATCGAAATCATGTGTAATATGTATAGCAAGTTATATTTTAATTTTATATAGGAAGAGAAATATATATATGTATGTTTGGGGTTTTTTTGGTAATTTTTAGGTGGCTTTCTGTTCTAACCATCATATGTTAAACAGCTATCAAAATATTCTTCAACCGTTCCCCACTACCAGTCATTGGGGTTTTTTTCTATTATTTAAATTCCTTCTCTGAAGTGCCTTGTCTCATAGTTATTCCCAGTTCTTATCTGGCAGCCAGCATGTATATATGGATATATATTTGTATGCAATGTGTGTGTGTATATATAAAACTTTTTCTAACAGACAGTAGCAAAAGTAACCACTTTTGTAATTAAAATAAACAGGCATAACCCTAGTAAATTAAGATTTTTCTAACCCTAAATATTTTTTTTAAGTTACCTTCCTGAAGGACAAGTTAATTCTATATCATTCCCACCCCTGATTTGATATTAACAAGTTCAAATCATATTATCTAAATTGAGGTGATTAGACATTATAGGGATTAGCAGTTTGCTAAGAATTGAAACTGAAAATTCACCGTGGTGGGTGTAGCAGCATGAACTGTTATGATGGAAATGGCAGGAGAGAAGTTTAAGAGCGTGAGGGAGGCTTAGCAATAGATGTAATAAATACCGTGTTAGATTACCCTTAATTAGCAGAAACAAATGTTACGTTTTTCTACTTTTCAACATCCTTCACTTCTGGGCTCTTTTTTTGACGTATATATTGAGTGAAAACTTGGTATACTTCATTTTTTCTTATTTAAAAATGCACCTATATTATAATTCTTTCATAGCATTGTAGGTCATGTACTAACAGAGCATGATTATTCTCCTAATGAAATGGAAGTAATTTGGCCTTCAATCTCACAGAATTTAATATGCACCTGAGGCATAGATTACTGGCCTGATAATACATCCCATTTAATGTCCCATTCCTTAAATTAACCAGCCCAACCGCTCACTGGGAAGCTATCTAATAAATAAGTGAAAAAGGCAGCACCTGTTATGACTGGTTAAGTATCTGATACTAAAGCATGTGTAAATAGGAAAGCTGTCTTTGAAGTTTAAATGCTATTTCAGAATCCATACTGTGCTACAAGTTTTCTAGTAGCCAACGCTATAGAACAGAGGTTCCTAATGTTTTATTCATAACGGGTCAGGTACCGAAAGGGATATCACGCTGAGCATGAAAAAAAATTAACCGTGACTCTAATGCCTGCACATTCAATAAAGGCCCTCAAAGAGCGAAGGAGGGTTCCCTGTAGAGACTTGCCCCTGTCCTGGCGTGGCGGGTGCTGCACCGCAAGAGACTGCTTTGCACGTGGACGAGAGCTCCCGGAGAGGCAATGGGGCAGAGGGATGTGCCTGGAGAACGGGGCCCTGGCCTTGGACCAGCGGGCGGACCTGGCCCCATGTGCGACGCCTTCACCCTCCCTCCCCGCGCTGTTGGGGTCTCAGGGAGCGTTGCATTGTCCCCAAGGGGCACGCCGTGGAAAGCTCCTCTGCCCGCCACAAGGAAGGGCTCGAAGGCTGCGTCTGGCCCAGAGCCCACGCTGAGGGAGCGTCTCCTAGAAACGTACCCCCAAGTAAATGTATTTACCCAACTAATTTAACATGTATTATTACACATTGTTAAAACTTTTTGATATACAACAGCTCAGCTCATGAGGGCTCCACCAAGATCTTCATAAATACCTACTTAAGAAGGAAGCTCTAAACTGCAATCTAGATTACTGGGTTGAAATATATAGAACAGTATTTGTTCATTTTGTTCTGTCTTCCTTGAAGATTCCTGTCCTTTTCTGCTTATTTTTGTTAGCTCTTGTTAAATGATGGCCGTGATATTGACAGGTTGTGGGGGTTTTTTCCTTCATATGCATCTGTTCAAAGATCAAATTTAGAATCTTATAAATAGCACTAAGCTCATCCCTGTTGAAGCAAGAGGATATTTTAGGTGTTCTCCAACATGTAAATTCAACAGGCTGGAGTTTTCATCAAATATCTTAAAAAGTAAGTAACCTTAACTCCAAATTCTTTTGGAAAATAAATTTATCTTTTCTGAACTCTGTTACACAGATTGTAGCATACCTGGTTAAGTAATTATTTCATTCCTTATAGTAACAGCAAAGAACAGGAAAGACTTACTAGAATTGAACTATTGGGGTAGAGGTACCAACTACAGTTTTTAAAAATATATTCCCTGTAAAATCTTTATTGAACAAATGCATAACTGGTCTGCAATTCCAAATAAAACCACAGTAAATAGCTTAGTACAAATAATTTCTATTAATTCATATTTACAATGTAAAAATTATTTCCCTTATAAATTTGGAAATCCTGCGTGATTGGTCAGCAGTTAAGAAAATAATATAAGAATAACTTCTGCTTTGAATGCTCTAGGTAAATGAAGGAATTGGGTCCCCACAGATTAGTCTGATTATGGGATACATTTTAGAAACTTTAATACACAGCATTTCAAGGTCCATGATGAAATACTAATTTTTTATAACTTTTGCCTTTTACAAAGAGATTTGCAAAGATCTTTTCCATAAGCAGTGTATGCTTGATAAATATAGAGATACCTATGAGAGTAACCGCGAGAGTAAAAGCGTATTTTTGCCAATGGCATTTGGAAAAGGAGGCAAAAGTGAAGAAAACAGGAAATGTTAGGGGAGATTAATATCTTACATGAAAATCTAAGTAAATTCGATATGGTCATGGTTATCAGACAGGTTATATAACTTCTCTGTATTTTTTAAGAGTTTAACTACATAAATGCTAGCCAAATGGTGAAACACATGCGTACATCTATGCATTTACAGGCAAATCCAGCTCAGACCATTCCCTACATCACTGAAGGACGTTAGCTGGGAGGAGAGAGGGCTGAGGGGGAATCTCATCAATGCATACAACCCCCTGATGGGAGGGAGTAAAGATGATGAAGCCAGGCTTTTCAAAACCCGATTGGACATGGCCCTGAGCAGCCTGCTGCCGGTGAGGCTGCTTTGGTCAGGGGCTTGGACCAGGGAATCCCCAGAGGCGTCCTCCAGGTTCTCCAGCCTCAACCCATGGGTGGTTGGGGGACTCCCTGAACCAATGCACTGCTCCGAGCAGGTGTAATGGCTTTGCTGCTGCTCAGCATAGAGGTAACGCTCAGGCAAAACAAGGTCGGTCCTTAAACTTGTGGGTACTCTTATTCAAGGCATGGAATTAGTTGTCTTGGTAGACCTGGCAATTTTGAAGCTGTTTATAGTCAGCCATGGTAATAACATAAGAAGCACCTAGACCAATTCTAAGTCTTAATACAATTACGTTTGCAATCTGAAACACTTTATAACGCCAAAAGGTACACGATGTTTTACAGAACCAATGTGCTTCATTTCTTATGTAGCTTACATATGACCCAGACAACCGGTCCTGCCTACACACAAGATACATGAAATGGGCCCAGTGTGTGCACAATTCAAATCGTTACAAAACCAGGAACGACCCCATCCTAGGTTAGTCACAATGTAGAAGGGAAAGCAGACGAGTTGTGCCTTTTTTAATCTAATCAGTCTGTACCTACAGAGCAGGACTATGGGTCAGCAAGAATGAAAGACGTGTGTCTTCATTCC